TATACCGAGGGTGGTGGGTTTTAATCTGGCCCCAGCCAAACTGCAACAAAAAAATAGCTGGGCATTGTGACGGGCACCTGTAGTCCCAGATACTTGGGAGGCTGAGGCATGAGAATCACCTAAGCCCAGGAGTTCGAGGTTGCTGTGAGTTGTGATGCCACAGCACTCCACCTAGGGCAGCAGTTCTCAACCTGTGGGTTGCGACCCCTTTGTAACAACGAAAATACATCGCGGCATTAGGAAGGTTGAGAACCACTGACCTAGGGCAATAAAAGTGAGACTCTGTCTCTAAAAAAAAAAAAAAGAATATGGAAAAGCATGCAAAATATACTGCTGGGTTTTTAAAAAGCATGTTTTTAAAAACTATATAGCACACATACATTCTCACTTTTACATAAACACGTATATCACAGAAACAATAGCTATGGCTAAAATATTAACTGTGATTCTCTTTCGGTGGCAGGATTATAGGAAATTTTTAATTCATTCTTTTTTTAAGCATTTAAACTTTTCTATAATGAATAGATGTTGATTTTGAAATTAGATATTTTTTAGTCTTGTTAATACTCAGGTTAGATTATTAAGTGATTATTTGCCCAGGTAATTTTCCTCCTAATAGTGGTCATCAAATTGAATTATAACTGGTCCACTACTAAAGTGTTCAAACTGAGTTTCTAACTGAGGTACAAAGATGAAAAAAACCCTTTCCTACAAGTAGTAATATAGCTGTGAAAATCAATGAACTAGAGCTGTGGACATTCATATTGATGAATCATATAGTATTACTAGGAAAGAAAGCAAATTGAGGAATACATACAGTATACTTATAAAACATGCAAAACTAAAACTATGTATTGTTTAGGGATATTTACATGTACGTTAAAATATAAACACTAAATTCATGACTCTGAAAATGATAAACACTAAATTCATAATCCTGATTACCTATGGGCACTGGGTGATAAAATTGGGGAGGATCCATATGAACTATCAAAGACATTGATAATTTCTACTTCTTAAGATGG